CACTGCTCATCCAGGACGCCGGCCAGCACACCTTCTCCTGATATGGCATCTGTTTGCTTCAGGGGGGCTTTTCTGGGACCTAAGGTCAAATTCACTACCACAAAGCCTGGGAGTAGATAATTTTAATTTGTCCAGGAGGCCCACGGTAGAAACAGCATGAGATTTGAAGTCAGAGACAAGATTCGAGTGGTATTTCTACATTTTTATGTTATTGCCTATATGATTTTGGTCAAATACTTAAACTTCCAGAGCCTAAGTTTCTTCAACTATGAAATGGGAATAACACAGGTAGGGAGAGACGAGTGGAAGATTAGAAATAATGCAACAGAGCACTTAATAAGTGTTTGGCACATTGTGGATGCTTAGTAACTGGTAGCTATTAAATAATTGTCACTATTGAAGGGCCTTCTGGCTGGTCTTGGGGGCTGGAAAAGCTGTCTAAGATTATGGATTCTGGAGTAAACCTCCTGGGTTCACATTCTTGTTCTACCACGGATCAGCTGTGTGCGTACGCACAACTTCATTACTTTCTGTGCTTCAGTTTTTGCCATCGGTGAGAAGGGTGCAATAATAGTCCCTGACTCATGAGGATAAATGATGGTAAAGAGACAAATAAGAACTATCAAGAGGGTGAGTTGAAATGACCTCATATTGGTGGTCTAGTGCCATTATTGTTTTCAGTGACATGAAATGAACCTCCTTTGAAATTTACAGTAATCTTCTCCTCTTTCTGCTCCAGTTAAGAATTCCTAATTTTTTGTATTTAATGCCAACACAAATGTTGATATTGTTTTTACTTGAAATACAGATAAATTATCATAAAAATTACTGTTGCCATTTAAGAAATTGAATTAACTACTCTAAAAGAACTTTTTTTTGTGTGTGTACAGAGAATACATAAGTATTTTTTGTAGAATTACTACACATAAAATTAGGTATCGTAAATAAAAATCTCATGTTATAGGAGAATATGTAAAAAAAACACAACCAGCTTTCTATAAAAACAAAACAAAACAAAACAAAACAGAACAAAACAAAACCCTGTGATTTTATTGAAATGATTTGGCTATCCTACTTCAATCTTGAATTGGGCTGGGTTGCATATGAGCTAAATTTACCCTCCTCTGAGATGACAGCAATAAGATGGGACCATGTGTGTGTCCACCAGGAGGAAAGCTGTGAATTTAACGTTGGTCTAGAAATCCAATCTGACTTATCCCCGTGGGCCGTGTGTGGTGCTGGCCGGGTCTGCATCATCACTCTGAAGTCTGCGCCGATGTCCTGTGACTAATACACTGCAGCTGTCTGGGTCACCACTTTGGAGTACTATTTATTTGCAGTAGTGATGCTGCAAATAGGAAAAACTTTCTCTTTTGTTGGTTGAAAGCTTTTGCAAAATAGGCATGGCTTTTATTGGGAGACAGACAAGAAATGTGGCTTAAGAGTTGGTTGTATACAACCACTTTCAAAAATAGTTTGACATTCCTTAGGAGAGTTGAACTTTGCAATCCCAAGTCCAGCTCCCCTCTGCTAGGTATGTGCCTTGGAGAAACTGGCTGGGTTCCCTGGGCGAGGAGCACTAGGCTGTAAATGGCAGCATTATTCATACAGCAAAAAGCGGAAAACTCCCCAGATGATCCTCAACAGTAGAACAGAGCAGTAAATTGTGTATATGTTCATACAATGAGAAATATATAGTGGGGGAAAATCTACTCCAGCCATGAGTCAACATGGATGAATCTAAAAATCTTAAGAGGCAAGTCTTAAAAGAATACATACAGTTTGTTTCGTTTATATGAGACTTACAACCAGGCAACATACATCAATGTGTTGAGAATACCTATGTGGTAAAACCATAAAGAGGAGCAAAGGAATAATTAACTCAGAATTCAGGTTGGTGTTTATCTGTGCGGGAAGGCAGCCTACGGTGAGGGGGAGTAGAAGACGAGAGAGGGAGGGGCACTCGGGTCTTGCAAACAAACAAACAAACAAACCAAACCCAATCCCTGGCACCATCGACTGGGTATTCAGTACATGGGCTTTATTTTGTCATTCTTTAATCTGACGTGTGGTTATCACTATAACATTACCTCAAAACCTAGCAGCTGAAAACGGTGATAAACATCTGTGGCCTCACAGCTTCTGCGTAGGTCAGGAAGTCAGGAACAGCTTAGCTTGGTGGCTCTAACTTGGGGTCTTGCATGGCATTGCAGTCAAGATAGCAGCTGAAGCAGCCATGACCTGAGGCTTGACTGGGCTGGAGGATCTGCGGCTCTTCAGAGGGCTAACTAACTCTCTTGGCTCTTTGAGGAGGTTTCAGTTCCTCAGCATGTGGGCTTGTCTTTAGAGCACCTGAATGCCTGGCATGGGAGCCAGCTTTCCTCCTGAGAGAGTGAGGGGAGGCTGCTCACTCTCTCTAGCCTTTGGAGCCACACTCCATCATTTCCCTGGTATCGTATTGGTTATGCATGCCAGCCCTGTTCGTTGTGGGAGAGGAACATCAATACTGGAGGCAGGATGGTTGAGGCCATCTTGGAGGCGGGCTGCCATGGTTATGCACTTCTTAATGTAATATATTTTACAATAAAATGTTTACATTTTTATTCTCACCCAAGGACTTTTTTTTTTCATTGCTCTAAGAGAGAAAGGGAGAGAGAGAAACGTGGATGAGAGAAACATCGATTGGCTGCCCCCTGTATGTGCCAGATAGGGGATTGAACCTGCAACCTAGGTATGTGCCCTGAGTAGGAATCAAACCGCAACCTTTGGGTTATAGATTACTGCTCCAACCAACTGAGCCACACCAGCCAGAGCATAACAAAAAATTTTTAGAGACAAACTAAATTGGTGACCTGACTTTTTTTTAGTAATCATGCAGCCATCCACATAAATGAAAATTACAGGAAGTGCTGAATGTTTTACCGGTCAGGAGGGGGTTGAAGAAAAGTCACTGATGTAAGCTAGGTAACTGAGTGGCATGAGCCTACCCAACAGGAGTGTGCTTGGGGTGATGAAGCTGGCAGGAAATGTGGTAGAGGGAGGAGATTCAGTCACACTTACAGGAGGGGGTGCGGTGTAGAGATGGGATTATGTGGGCCTACCCTTCAGTTTACCTGACCTAGATCTGGCAGAAGTCTCTGATTTTGAAGAGAATTCTGCAGACCAAGGGCCATTGGTAGCTTTCTGGGCTTGCCGTGATATAAAATTCCTACCAACTTCACATGTTCCCCTTAGACCACATTTAATGAAAAAGGAGAGTCCATCCCTCATCCCCTCCCCCGACATGTAATGTACAGCTGGAAATGAACTAGGCAAGTAAGAATTAGAGTTTGAGCTTAAAAATTCATGCAATGATGGCATTCTACTCCATAATGCATATTTGTTTTAATATTAACAACTTTTAAATTACTGATTCATTTCCTTATCCTCACTAAAACTTGGAGTAAAATTGATGTTTCCAAAGGTACATCATGTTTTTCCCTGGTTTTGTGTAGCTCCTGGCATGATCTCTTGGTGAGTGCCACTGGGGTCTAAGTGCTCAGCTTGTGAGTCACGTCTTATCTCTTTTGTGGGTTGTGTTGTCCTTGTAAAGAGGTGTCCCAGGCTACAGGTGAGGAGGCAGCTTGGAGAGATTCTCTGGGTTTTTACTCAAGGTAACGATAGAGGAGACAGAACTGAAAGCCAGGTGCAGGGGTTCCTGGCTACCTTTCCCCAGGCTTTTGTTCGCCAGTACCTTCCCAGGTTCAGGTTAGAACACTGATACCTCTAAGCCTCGGAAATGCTTGCATAATTTCTGTGACCAGCAGATGAAAGACCACTTTAGACCATTATGTAGGGACACTAGATTCTCCCCAACTGTAGTTTTTTTTTTAATGCTGCCTCCATCTTTATTGTGGAGCAGTGCCTGTGCCATTATATCATATTGTATTTTGCATTGTACAAAAACAAATGGGAAGTCCTCAACAGCAAATTATTGCATTTTGTTGTGACAAAAGTAAAAATCTCAAAGACAAGGCAAAGACAAGAGTGCCATGTGATGCTGGTTTTACTTCCATTGGCCAACAGTGTGCTTTCTTGAGGAAGAAGGGGGAAAATGGACACATATATGTGTATATGTACATACGTGTGTGCATATATGTGTATATATACATATATACACATACAAACTGCAGCACCCTCCATCTCCCAGTAGCAGGTGAATGTGTTGTTTGGCCGTTTTGCTTTGAGGTTGGACTTTAGGAGAGTATCATGTTGGGGGGTGGGGCAGAGAGAAGGGGTGGGAATAACCTCCGTGGTGAGACAAGCCCTGAACTTAGGGTCAGGAGACCTAATCTGGAGTTTCATCTCAGGTGTTTTCTGTTTGAATGCTCTTGTCATACATCATCTCTGACGCTTAGCCAGCCACCTCCTCTGGGAAATGGAATCAGTAAACTCCATTCACCTCACAGGGTGGTTGGGGGAGGATCTAATATTATAGATAAGGCCCAAATGTGAGGTGTGGTGGAGGCAGCAGCAAATATGACTAGCAGACCGTGGCACCACTGTGCCCCATAGCATGTGCTGTCGTTGAGTGTGGTAGTAGATAGGGTCCAAATACCTCTTCCTGAAAGGGCTCCAGAGGATCAGCAGTTCTGGTGTGGTTCCGTGTGTGTCTGTGGATGCCTTCTCGGTGTGGTCTCAGAAATCCAAAGTCAGAGCGGAGCTCGGGTTCTTGAAGCTCCAGTTTTTGTTTGAGTGGAAGTTTGGGCTAGTCACTGCCTGAAATTGATGTGAATTAAAAGAAACAGAAATTCCTTTGTTCCAGAAGTTCGTTCCCAGGGCGGTGATCCTCACATTCAGTGATGGGATCATTCTTTGCTCTTTTTTCCTTCCTTAAAAAAGAAATAGTTGCAGCAGTATTTTAATCTAGAGACTTATGTTGAGAACATTTTTTCAAGTGAAGTAGCGTTAACTTAATACAAATCTTTGGTGATAACATGTTGTTTTGCTTTTTCTTTCAGGGTGAGGGCAGCATGAATGACCCCTGAGTGTGCCTTTGGGCACATTTCGCCGTTCGTTTTTGATTAGGAGAAAGAAGACAGCCATCCACTTGAAAGGTGAGTAAACATTTTGATGCAACTTTTTATTATAAAAATTGTCAGACACGCTAAAGAGTTAAAGGAATGTTCAGGAATTCCTGTGTATCCACTACCTACATTTAACAATTGGCATTTTGCCACATTGTATGTATGTGTGTGTACAGATATGTATATTTTCCTGCCGAAACATTCAAGTTACAGATATCATGACATTTTATCCTAAATTCTTGGGGATGCAGCTCCTAAAAATGATGTTCTTCGAGAGCCATTTTAGAACATTCATAAACTATGCGACCTATAATACTTAATTTAACATAGTTATAATTTCCTATTAAAAGGTAGAATTTTGAATTTATGCTCCTTATTAGCTGGTGTAAATAAAGTCAAATTTAATGAAATGTTTAAGTGGTGGTTCATTTAATGGACAGATGGGCAGTATTAATTTGCTCTGAGAGACATCTGAGTGTCAACGATTGGCATTTGTGCCTACACGGTGCCTGTGTAGGAGGGAACACCACACTTTCTTCTGTCCTCGTAACCTGCCCGCTCCCTCACTGTGACCAGCGTTTGCCATTAGGTCATTGGGTCTGGTTATCACTCCTGCGTCTTCCCGGTCAGCATTCACAAGCAGACCAGTCACTGGGAGCTGTGTGATCAAAGGTCTTACTTGATTTTTTAACCTGAAATTATTAGAAGAATGTGTAAAGAATATGAGTGGTAATGTCAAGTTGAGATTACTATATTAAAATCCACATTAGAGTGATTCAAAATGATTCTCAGCCCATAATTTGACTACCTGAATTGAAACTTTACATAAAATCTTAAAGATGTGTTCAGCTGTGATTGTAATTGTATATTATTATACATTATGGCCTATTACATAATCAGTTATTAGAACTCTGTGGGTCTTGCAGAATGGCTGTCAGCTGTTCTACATTCTAATCTTAGTTGCATTTTATTTATGGTATCTTCCTCAAGTGGTCCCTGAGTATCTAAGCATTTCTTCACAGATGTTTATAAACGAGGCTTGCCCCTTTAGAGCATTATTTTAAAGAAGTCCTTTGAAGGGAGCCATTTCGGGCAGCAGAGGCTTCTTGTGTTCTTGTTTCTCATGTGGAACAAAGAGTCAGTGACGGCAGGAAAGTTTCTTCCAAAGACACTGGCGTTCTGAAGGAGCAGTGACACAGCTTCCCGCAGGCAGCACAGAGTGGTCTGGTTTGCTCTTTTGCTCCCTGGCCTCCATCTGGTCATATTTTGAAAAGAGGAGGCGGAGTTGAGTGGGGCTCCATATGGGGCCGACGGCCTGAAGGACAGTCGAAGGGAAGGCATGTGGGGCCCTGCATGTGGGTTCTTCAACTGGCTCTCTGGCCCGGGACCACTGAGTTATGGGGTAATGATATATTGTTTCATTTTCTATTGAAATAGAACATACATACAAAAAATATACATATTATAAGTGTACAGCTCAATATAATTCCACAAACTGCACTCATTCATGTAACTGGCACCCAGATCAATAAACAAAACATTACCACCGCAGCCTTATGCCACCTCCTAGACGCTAGACATTGCCCCACTCCCTGGGTAGCTGCTCTCTCGACTTCTAGTAGCATACATTCCTTTTGCTGTTTCTCTCTTTCTCTCTCTATCTCTCTCTCTAATACGTAATGCAGATTGTACTTTTTGTGTCCGGCTTTTCTCATTTAACAATGTATTAGAGAGATTCTGCCATATTGTTGCATGTAGTTATAGATTATTCATTTTTATTGCTATTGAGCATTCCATTGTATAGGAATACAACAGCTTGTTCATTCTGTTAGATGCAGATAATTTTTCTGTGTTTACCCACCCAGAGCACCCTCTGGCAGAAAAGAAGATTAAACAAGGTTTTATCCTCATTATGGCTACAGTGGAGGTGGTCCCAGGTGGTCCCAGGTGGTCCTACCTTTGCCCACTTCTGCTGTGAGATGAAGGAGGAATCCAGGCTGCAGAGAGAAGATTGAGACACAGTTGGGCAATGAGTGGTTTTTTAGTCCTGTGGTGGCTCCCGCTGCTGTCCCTGTGACTGACCACGTCCCTGCTGGCCCTTCCTCTTTTCTGCTCTTATCACTCTTGTACAGCCCCTTTGTGGAGACCATGCAGAACACATCACATAATAGGCAACCAATGAATATTTAAAATTCCTTAGGTGTTGAGATTAGGTGTTAGATGAAAGGCAGAAAATTAAAACTCATGGGCTTGCTTTTAAGGAGCTTGTGCTGCGGTTACAGGCCCCATCCCTGGAAACCACCTGTAGTGCAGAATTCAGGAAGTAAGTTCAGAGGCTCGCAGGGGCCAGGAGTGTAATGTGACAGAAATTAGCTGAGTTAGGAAGGAGTGATGGGCACTGGGGAGAATGAGAATATCTATGCTTTGCCCAGTTTTTGACTCAACAAAACATGTCTGGCTGAATTTAGCAAGTTCACCAATTTCTGACTTTTAGGGAATAGAGTGTTCATTGTAAAAAAGTGGTTTCCTTGGGTTTGAATGTTTTTGTGGATTATGGATGATTTTATAAATAAAGTCTTATTCAAACACAGTCATGCTCATTTGTTTATGTATTATCTGTGTCCACTTTGGTGCTCTAACAGCTGAGCTGTTTAGTTGTGAGAGAGACCCAGGGTTGAGTAGTGAGTAACCACATGACCCATAATACTTAAAATATTTACCATCTGTTCCTTCACAAAAAAGCCTGCCAACTCCTGCTTTACTTCGTAAAAGCAAGGACATAGTAATAGTAACCCCTGTAGTTATAACATAGTCTGAAACTACTCATTTTAGTGTTAATACCTTTATTTATTCAACAAATATTTACAGAGTGCCTATTGTATGTAAGGCATAAAACAGTGATAGGTAGATATGATTCTTGCCCTTGAAGAATTTATAAGAGGCTCCTATGAATTCGAAGTTCCATTCTGAAATTGTGCTTTCTATGAATCAAAAGTGTAATATGGAAATAGAATTACCAGACTCTCAATTTTAAACTAACATTTTGGCTGTATTTATTAATTTTAGAAATATGATTAATACTTATCTATATAAGCTAGTGGTTACCTCAGTTATAAGGTGTAGGTACTATGGATACATAGAAATGACTGTAATTAAAAGTCCTAACTGTTTACATGTGGTAACACCAGACTGGGAGCTAGCATGTTTGGATAGGGCTGAGAGCTTTGAGGTGCTTACCAAAGCGAGTCAACAGACTCCCAATCTTAGGCTATGTTTTTGTTTGTTTATTTATTTACTTACTTATTTATGTCTTCAGATTATGAGAGAAAGTTTATTTAGACAGTTACAGAGGCCATAGAAGTGAGCCAGCTGGGCTGTGTAGGCCCAGGAAACAAGTTACAGAAGCAGAAGAAGGGCCTTCGGGGCTCAGCAGAAGGAAGGCCAAGGAAACTCCCCTGGAGGGCAGGGAAGAGGAGGAGGGAGGGAAAAGCTTGGGGTGTGCTCTTGAGAGGGAAAGCCGGCCTTAGGCTAATTTAATGATAAATCATAAACCTCAACAGAAAGAATAGTACACAAAGTAATAAAGTATTGAATGTAGCCTAACAAATGACTCTTTGTTGGTATGCTTATCTGTTCGCTTACTTGAGGTCATAACAATTTGTTTCTTTTTTTTTTTTTTTAATCCTCACTTGAGGATCCTGCTTGAGGACATGTTCACTGATTTTTTGAGAGGGAGGAAGGAAGTGGGGGAGAGAGAGAAGACACAGAAGACAGACACATCAGTGGGTTGCCTCCTGTACGTGCCCTAACGAGGGATCAAACCCACGACATTGTGGTGTACAGAACGGTGCTCCAACCGACTGAGCCGCACGGCCAAAGCTGTTTGTTCCTGAAAGGAGCCTATGGAGGGATTATAATGAACATAGAGCTGGTTTTAAATGTCATTTTAACTCACTATTTTCATGTATGCTTGTACATGTTTTATGGGTGGACACTCAGGTGCTTGCTCCTTCACTGTCCCCAGATTGTCTGTGGACAGTTAAAAAGAAAACACAGTTGGCCCAGCTCAGTAAACCGTCATAAGCCAAAACGGCTGCATTGCCTTCTTCCAGCCCGAGAGTCTTGCAGGAAGTGAGATTGGAAGTTTGTTTGGATGTTGTAGTTAAGGTTATTTAGCTGTGTGTAAGAATTTGAACACGTGAAGACGCGTGAAGTGTTTACATATTGCTTTGGGAGCCACCTGACATCAGACGGAATTCTGCTTGCCGCCTTTGGAGGCAGGGTCTGCATGGCCCCACGGTGGTGAGGGCTGGTCTGAAGGAGCTGCAGAGAAGCGATGTCGTTTGTGCAGTGAATAGTCCAGTGAATGTGGCTAAAACTGCATCATGGTTTGCCAAGATTACTTAAAAAGTTAAGGTTTAATTCCTTTTGTGAGGAAGAAATGATATTTACTGCTTGTGTTTAAAATGTTTTTAGACATTCAGTTTTCTTCATTTTAATAATTTTTATAGTGGTTTGGATTTAGGGTTAAATGAACAATGAGAATGGAGAAGACCAAGAGAAAGTAAACATCACAGTTGTTTTCCTTGCAAAGCTGGAAACAGCAGACTTAACTGCTTTGGTTAAAAATAAAGTTTTTGAAACCAATATGATAAGTCAGATCACTTGGTTTGTGGCATTAAGAAAACTGGATCTTCTGTTCTATGTAAAATGGAGTTCTTGTGGCAAGAACTCCAGCATCAGGAAGGTTTTATTTCAGAGAAGGGAGTGTTCTGAAGTACAGAAAAGGCAGATGAACATAGCTTGATAGAATAAAACATGTTAGAAAGATTATTATATTAGGGTGATTCTTTTGGCTTCAAGTGACAGAAAACCCAATTTCGAACAATCTTAAGTGAAATAAATGTATCGGCTTGGGTAATTGAAAGTCTGGAGAGGGACCTGACTTCAGGAAGGGCTTGAGTTGGGATCCCAACGACGTCACGAAGTCTCATCTTGGCTGCGTGTTCTTGGGCTACAAATTGAGACTT